CATTTGCTACTGGGAATTAAACCCAGGAGTGCTCTACCACTGAGCTATACCTCTAGTCTTTTTATTTTTTATTTTGGTATCATAAGTAACTGAGACTGGCCTGGAACTTGCAATCTTCCTGCCTCAACTTCCCAAGTAGCTGGGATTACAGGCCTGTACCACCACACCTAGCTAATGCTAGTTATTTACTAAGCATTTGTATGGTCAAAAGTCCTTTACATGTGTTTAATTTTCATAACAACTATTATCCTCATTAGATACTATTACTGTCATTTTAAAATTAAGGAAACAGAAGCTCCGGATTTGCACAAGGTCACACAATAAAGAAACAAGGAGGTTTGAAATATTGGTGTCCCTGGAGCTCATATGATTGTCACCATAAAATACTGCCACTGATAGTCTGACACGAGTACAAAACACAGATGATGCCCATGTGGGACAGATCAGACTCCTTTTAATTTAAGTGTTAAGACTGAAAATACAAACTACAAAGTGTAAAAATGATGCCATAAAAAACACAGAATGTGTTTGAAGAGGAAAAAACTGTTTAAAGAAACCCCCCCCATTTTTTAATTGCCCAATTTACTTTGAGGTAATTTCCACAAGCAGATAAATGAAATGTAGCTTTATTTTGGCATCAATGTTGCTAGGAATGTAGTAGCTCAGTGATAGAGCACTTGCCTAGCATTCATGAGGCCCTTGGTTTGATCCACAAAAGAAAATAACTATAATTTCCATGTTAGATAAACAATAGACACTTAAAAAAAATTCAGATAATAGACATGTATCTAGACTTGATGTCTAATAAGGGCAACCCTCTTTCTAAAAAGAAAACACTAAATATTTCAGTCTCTCTTATCTGAACCTCAAATTTCTGCCTTTGAAGTCTTTGGTTTCTTTAAAGGCAGCAATCAGGGGCATCCTGGCCCGGATCTCCTTCTCTAAGCGTACTACACTGGTGGGTGCAAGGTACCATACCAGAAAATGCCATCAATCATTTTCCAAATATATGTAGAAACAAGTACTTCTAAAATACATTATTGGAAGATCAGTTAAGATAAAATTGTTTTCTGCAGGACACCAAGTGATCACTTACCACCTTTTACTCAAACCAAAAGAAGCTTAATAAAAGAACATGAAGCAGGGCTGAGGATGTAACTCAGGGGTGGAACGCTTAACCTAGTGTGTGCAAAGCCCTGGGTTCAATCTCCAGTACCAAAACAAAGAATAGCAACAACAACAACAACAACAAAAAAGAAGAAACTGACAGCCATGCTTATAGATTTTTTTTAAACCACCAAGGTAGATTTTTTTTTTTTTTTAATATTTATTTTTTAGTTCTCGGCGGACACAACATCTTTGTATGTGGTGCTGAGGATCGAACCCGGGACGCATGCATGCCAGGCGAGCACGCTACCGCTTGAGCCACATCCCCAGCCCCAAGGTAGATTATTTTAAAAGCAAACTTTATCTTATTTTCATTATGGCAAGTCTGAGATATTTCCTCTGTGAGATGGAGATAACTTTGGATAAGGAAGAAGGGTTTTTGCAATTAAGTGATAACTTATGTAAACTTTTATATTGAAGTAGTGACCTGACAAATGAAGATCTTGCATTGAGCACACCAAAATTGTTCTAATGCTTTATAGATAATATTAATATATTTGTTTAAGATTATCTTAAGGTAATCTTAAAAAGTTTAAGATTATCTTCTTATTTTTCAGGTTTTCCTTTCCAGCTCATAAGTTTGATGATTTATTGAACAAAAACTGATCAAGTACTACTACATTAGTGACAAAATGTCTACAGCAGATCTAAGATATACAAATTCTGTAATAAAGTTTTTTTAAGAAACAACTGGTGGGGCTGTGGTTGTGGCTCAGTGGTAGAGTGCTAGCCTAGCATGCACGAGGCGCTGAGTTCGATCCTCAGCACCACATAAATGTAAAATAAAGATATTGTGTCCACCTAAAACTTAAGAATAAATATTAAAACAACAACAACAAAAAAAAAAAAAACCTGATGATGGGCTGGGGTTGTGTTGCTCAATAGTATAGCACCCGCCTAGCACTTGTGAGGCCTGGGTTTGATCCTCAGCACCACATAAAAATAAATAAGATAAAGGTATTGTGTCCAACTACAACTAAAAAATAAATATTAAAAAAAGGGGAAATAATTAGTGAGTACTGAGGCATTTAATACTATTAGGAAAATGTAATACAAACCCATGAACTTAGAATGCCACTTCAGAATATAAATTCCACTATTTTCAGCAAAATGCCTGATTTCACTATCTTCTCTACTGTTATAAAGAAGGGAATAAAAAATAAGGTAGGCTGGGTACGGTGGCACACACCTGTAATCCCAGCAGCTCGGGGAGGCTGAGACAGGAGGATTGAGAGTTCAAAGCTAGCCTCAGCAACGGCAAGGCACTAAGTAACTCAGTGAGACCCTGTCTCTAACAAGATACAAAAATTGGGCTGGGGATGTGCTTCAGTGGTTGAATGCTCCTGAGTTTAATCCCTGGTTACCCAGCCCCCCAAATAAGATAAAGTCAATACTCAATAAAAATTGTGACTAGGGTAAATAACATCAGAAATCTAAACTAACCAGAACTATTCTATGTTATATCATTAAATTTGTATTGCCAGCCTGGTGTGGTGATGCATGCCTATTCCCAGCTATTTGGGTGGCTAAGGCAGAAGGATTGCAAGTTCTAGGCCAGTGTGAGTAACTGAATGGGACTCTATCTCAAAATAAAAATTAAAATAGGGCTGGGGAGGTAGCTCAGTAGCAGAGCGTCCCTGAGTTCAATCCCCAATATGGCAAAATAAATAAATCAACAAAAAAATAAAACAAAATACATTGTGCATTGCAAATTAGAGTCCACATATATGAATACATATATGTGTGTAGTTGTAGATGAACACAATATCTTTATTTGTTTATTTTTATGTGGTGCTGAAGATGAAATCCAGTGCCTCATAAGTGCTAGGGAAGCACTCTACCACTGAGCCAAACCCCAGCCCCCAGGGTCTGCTTTTTGGTGGTGGTGTGTTTGTGTCTGTAAATAAAATATTTTTTTGCTTTACTGGCCCAGGTCTTTCATAACAGTGTATTAAAAGAATAAAAAAGTTGACTTTCAAATGCTTTCCCCATGTGGCTCTACATGTTGGAACACAATTTTAATAGCCTGCCTGCTAACTAGAATGACTCCTCAATATTTAACATCCATTTTCTCTTGAGCACAAAAGGTCATTTCGTAAAACACAGGTCTGAGTCAAAAACTGAAAATCAAGAATAAGCAAAAGGTACCCACAAAAGGGCCAATCAAAGGGGGCTGGGGTTCAGGCTCAGTGGTAGAACTCTTGCCTAGCATGTGTGAGGCACTGAGTTTGATCCTCAGCACCACATAAAAAAATAAATAAACAAAATACAGGTATTGTGTCCATCTACAACTAAAAAAGAAATTCTTAAAAAAAAAAAAAAAAGGCCAACCAAATCATAAGCAGTGACAAGTGATTAATGCCAAAAGACCAAGTTGCTAAGTTATAAGGAAACTGCTATTCATTTGGACCTTATCCCAGAACACAAAAATCTGGAGGAGAAACGCTGGCGGTTTAAAGAGAACAAGAATTCCAAATCTGCTGGCTCATTCCTTTATCTACAGAAGCCTCTGATACTGTTTCTATGCAAATGACCATAACCTCGCTGGAAAATTTGTGGCACTTCAATTCTCTCTTAAACAGGTGGAAATCCATTGTTAGGAAAACGCCTAGAGAATATCAGAAAGGACCAACCTGAGAATCTGCCAAAGGAGACAATGAAGCATTTTAAAATCTCTCAAAAATTCTTCCTCTGGCAACGCCCCTCCCCTCTTTTCTCCCTTTAAGAACCTCCACCTGCCCGTGGTGCATATTCTTCAAGAAGACATCTGCACTGCAGATCTCTGCACGAGGCCAGCCAGCTCCCATCAGCAGGCAGACGCGGATACAATGGAAACTAAAGGAGGCCTGCAGTTTCCCTTCTAGTCCTTCAGAGATGGGAGGAGAAGGGGGTTCAACCAGCCCCTGCTTTGTCTGAATTTTCTCCCCTCCCCCCTTTCTGCAGTACACATCCTCTTTTGTCATACTGCGATCAATAACAGCCCAGAGAAAATCTGAAATCAAAACATGTTGATGGCTTGGCATGACTCTATTTATTATTTTCTAGAATATAAACGACTGATTGCGCGTCCCTACCCCCACGCCACGCCAGTGAAGAGCCGGCTGTGTTGCAGAGGCAGCCACGGATCCATCTTGGACCATCAGAAGCTCCCTCCCAAATCTTCCCAGAGCTATTCTCATCACGCCTCCTCTACCTTGGAGTCTCAGAAAAACCAGGCCTTTACGTAGAGTCCAGTCGAAAGCAGTAAAGAAAACGGGCTACAACGCTTCCATTAAACTTCCCCATCCTCCCCAGGGGCAAACAAAAATATTTTTTTTGGAAGACTATCAGGCACGTCTGATTATGTCAACACCTGACTGCAAACCTGCAATGCAACCCTTTCGCCACCATCCCTCAAAATCATAAAGAACCATTTCTCCCAAGACCCACCTGCCCCAATCCTCTCAACCTCGCTAATCTTACTCCTCGGAATCACCCCGGTCCAGCGGGTGGCTCTGGCCTCCTCCAACACGGCCCAAGCCCCACCTGAGCGATCGTCCGTTTCATCCCAACCTCGCGGGGCGGCTGTTTCCCCACCTGCCGGGTCTCGGCGTGAACGCCCACTCTCCAGACCTTCTTCCCGCCCCCAACCTGTTTTCCTCACACCCCGTTATTTCCTCACCGCCCGAAAGACCTTTCGCTCCCCTCCCCCTTTGCCCATTTTCCAAACGTTCGTCCCCCGGGATTGAAGCCACCAGCAGCCGAGTGTAACTCGTCCTCCCCGGTCGCTCCCGAAAGCCCCCGGCCCCAGCTCCCTTTCGTCCCCAGGGCGGGGGCTTCCCCGCACGCCTCACCCGCACAAGAGGAGCCGCAGCTTTTCGCCCCCAGGGCGGGGCTGGTTCCCGGGCTCCCGCCACCGCCGGCCGCGGACGGATCGGCCCCGGAGGACGACGAGGAGATGGACGGGGACTGAGTGGCCGCCGACGACTCCGCCATGGCTACGCGAGCAAGGGCGGGAGAGGGGTGAAGAGAGACGTGGGGCGGGAGAGAGGGAGGGGAAATAGAATAAGTAGGCAGCAGGCTCTCCGAAGTCCCTTCGCTCAGCCTGTTCCGAGGACAGACTCCGACAGACTGACTGACTGACACAGCCGAGCGCAACGAGAGGGAGAGCGAGCACGCATGCGCACAAAGAACTATAGAACGCGCGGCGGGGGCGAGAGGCAGCTGCGGAGGCGCGCAGCGGAGCAGTGCGCAGGCGCAAGAACTGTCCCTCCGCGCTCCAAAAGGAAGGAGAGGTAAAACCGACCTCGCGCCAAGCCTCAAGCGGCTGGGGTGGGGAGCGCCTCTAGGGGACGGGACGCAAGAGGCGTGGTCAATCATCAAGCCACGCCCACCACTGCGGTCCTAGGCGTTGGCGGGGACGCTGCGGGGTAGAATTTTTTCACGGCTCTTTATGTGAATGTTTTCGACTGGATGGATTATGTATTTTTATAATAGATATTTCTTTATGCTTCCAGTAGCTGGAAACGATCTTTCCCATAAATTCCCGGAGGCTGATATCTTTTGTGTGATGCATTCCCCCTTAGAATCTGAAGTGAAAACCGCAGGGTAGAGAAGGCCCACTCTGCAAGGTGCTTTATGAATTTCTCTGAATATGTCGTAATATCGCCTCACTGTGAGACACAGACAGCCTCATGGTCTCGCTTTTAGTAGGTGGAAAAAGATGTTATACAGAAGAAAAAACTACTATTCATTCTAATCACATTGCCGTGCAGTCACAGACCCTGCTTCATATTCTTGCCTTGTTGCTGTTCTTGTCCACCTTGAGTCTTAAGGTTGTCTCTTCCTCTAAATAAGCTCTAAGATAGAGAAAACGTATTTTGGAGAAGAAAAAGCTGAACTCATGAAGATAGAAAAGCAAGGAGATAACATCCTGGATGTGATTCTAAGGGACCGGGAGTGGGAAGGTGTTACAAAATGTGTTATTAAAATTTAAGAATACGGCACAAATACGCATAATTTTATTCGTAACCGAAAAAGGGTCCTTAGCAGAAATGTATTTGAAACCAAATATCCAATTATCTTGGATTTGGGTTTTTTTTTTTTTCCGGGTTCTCCTGGGTTGGCTTGTCAAATTCAAAGCTATCTCCCTACATCTTTAAAAATATTTTAAAGGTGCATAACCTTTTAAAAAGGGGAATGTATCCTGGAAATAATGAAAGCCAAGGTTGTAGCCTTTGCTATTGCTAAAGCAGCGATCGATGACCCAAAGTGCAATTGCAGGTTCAGCAAATCCTATAAAGATGCAACCTCATGAGTGGGGAGGTTGTCAGCCAGGCTGCTGCGGAGGGGAAAAAGCAGTCTGACCAGTGGAAATCTTTTAGAACACAGGCTGTGCACTACATCTGCCCTTGACAGTTTTTAAAGTCACAAAGCCCAGAAAGTGGGGTGGAAAGAAAAAAAGGAAGAAAGAAAACAACAAGAACATCCAAGTGGTTGCAATGCTTTGAGGAAGGCACAGAAGAATATGTCCCAAAATAACTTCCTGACAAATATCTTACCCTGGTGCTCACAGCATCAGCTGATGATGCAGCAGACTGTCCATAGATGGTAAAGGGAAATAGAAGCCAATGTGATATCCAAGCCAATTATCTACCTATGCTGACAAATGCATAAGTTTTAAAAATATTTTATTAAGTGTTAGGAAATTATGCTAATACCTAACCCTGACAGTACTTGCTAGAAACTGGGGCTCCTAGGTGGATAGGAATCTCATTCCTGATAGTCATAATAGAAAATAATCTATCTCATCAATTCATTTCTCCCCTCTGAAGGAGTTCCCTAACTACCATTAGGGACAGGGGCCTCTACCACTCTGGCTACTTCAAGTTGGAAAGGGGCATTAGGAGATGCCTGTCAGGGTCCTTTATATAGGTATATCTAAGGGGCCCTGATAGATGAGAGATTTTATTTTGGATTTTTATCTGTAGGGCCAGAGGTCTATGGTGGCAGTGAAGTGAGATACAGGGCAGGGATCATATAGAGTTGCAGGATCCTTAGAGAAGTCCTGTCATTCTCTGGGTTCTGGCTGACCTTAGAGGGCAAGGGCCAAATATTGGCTGCTTTTTCCTCAGCCCTTTTACTTCCTTGATTTAGGTCTCCAAGGTTTGGTTTCAAATATCCAGCAGACCAGTTCCACCAGTCTTAAAGTAGGAGTAATAGGTTTTAACTTTGAAGTTTATAATTTTACAGTTACTCTTTCTGTTGAGTTAGGGTGAGTTTCAGTGCTAGAAGTCAGCATTATATCCTATCTGTCCTGGAGATGATGGCTTGTTGGTCTTAACTTGGGTTGTTTTATTAGAAGTAGTCTCTCTCTCCCTTTTTTTTTAGTTGTCAATGGACTTTTATTTATTTATATGTGGTGTCTCACACATGCTAGGTAAGCGCTCTGCCAGTGAGCCACAAACCCAGTCCCAGAAGTAGACTCTTTAAGCACCTCAGAGATTTTTTTTTAAACAAGAAGTCTTAGTGGTTAAAGTTGAAGAGGAAGAAGAAAAAGTAGTAATAGTAGAAGAGGGGGCACTGGGAAGAAGAGGAAAAAGTATAAAAAGAAACACATTAAGGGGCTGGGGATATAGCTCAGTTGGTAGAGTGCTTGCCTCACATGCACTAAGCCTTGGGTTCAATCCCCAGCACCACATACACACACACACCAAAAATAAATAAATAAATAAATAAAAAGGAGAAGAAAGAAACATATTAAGGCAGAACTGCTTTCTGGAGAAGGGCCATACACCAGCACAATTCCTAATCCAGAGAAGAAGAAGGAGGAGGACAAGAAAGACAGACAATAATGAGGACTACTGGGAAAGAATCCTAATTCTGTTACTTAGACACATCATGCTTAAGATTCAGTTGGGAGTAACAGACATGCTCTCTAAAATAATCAAAGGGAGGTTGAATGAAACAGTGGTTAATCATCTATAGCTTTTCAAACTTTTTGTGTCTTGACATTATATCATCATTTCTTAGAGTCTTTGAAAATAAACATATTTTCTTTGTATTGATAACAAAACAAAGCAAAACAAAAGAAGCATTTGTGCTAAGTCCAACTCCTGAGGCTGTGTTTTCTCTTTCCTGCTATGCCAACTTCCCTGAGACTGATATTTCCTTGGGATATTTGTATATGTGATTTGTTTCATAGATGTTTACTGATCACCTGTTGTGTGACACTATCCTGGGATCTTTGTAGGGACCCCAAACTATGTTTATCCAGTCTTCAATGAGCTAACAAGCTAGGGTATAGAACATACATAAAGTTAAATAATACCAGTTAAATAGCAATCAACACCAACCCTAAACAACACAAAGCCATAGTGCTTTGAAGAGGTGGCAAGTGGACTGTATTGAATTTAACATAGAGAAGGGCTGGGGATGTAGCTCAGTAGAGTGGTGCTTGCCTTTTATGTGCAAGGCCCTGGATTGGATCCCTACCATTTCAAGGGGGGTGGGGTGGGAGACAGGAAGTCAGGCATGCAGACAGACAGACACACCCTGTGGAGTGGCAGTTTAGAAAGGGTTTATGAAAAAGTCCAAAGTTGGATAGGAGTTTAGAGTTGTAAGAATGTCATTAAAGGCAAAGAAGGATGGTTTGAAGCAAACATAGGGGTTACTTTTGTGCATGCATACAAAAAAGGCACCCTTCTGGGCAGACAAATCACATAAAAGAACCATTTCCTCCCAGTCCAGCCCACAGTGCAGTTCCATGCTGACTTGCTCAACAGAACATGGCCTAGATTTGATCCCCTCTTGCCCCTCCCCTGTATGACTGCCATGGTGGGATATACAGACTGCACAACCACACATGGCAGCTGGAGGCTCAGAAGTGTGATGTGTGTGAGATCTTTTGAGTTCTGGGTCAAGATATAAAGGGGGAAGAAATTTTTGGACCAGAGTTTGGAGAAGCAATAGTATTTCACTAAAGAATTGAGGCTTTTCCAGGCATAGTGGGGTATGGTGAGGCATTCTATGGCTGCAATTCCCAGCTCCTCAGGAGGATCCATCATAAGTTCCAGGCCAGCCTCAGCAACTAAGTGAGGACCTAAGCAACTTAGCAAGACCATCTCTCAAAAACAAAAACAAAAACAAACAAACAAACAAACAAAAAAAAAAAACCACAAGGCTTTGTCTTAAAGCTTAAGGCCAATGGGGATTCAGTGAAAGTTTTGGGACAGGGAATGGCTCAGATGAGTTTTTCTTTTTTTTAGTTGCTCATGGACCTTTATTTTATTTATTTGTAAGTGGTGCTGAGAATTGAACCCAGTGCTTCACACATGCCATGCAAGTGCTCTTCCACAGAGTTACATCCCAACCCTCTATTTTTTTTTGTTAATATACATTTTTTAGTTGTCGATGGGTCTTTAGGTATGTATGTATGTATGTACTTATTTATATGCAGTACTGAGAATCAAACCCAGTGCCTCACACATGCTAGTCAAGTGCTCTACCACTAAGCCACAACCCCAGCCCACTCAGATGAAATTTTTTGAGAGAGAGAGAATTTTAATATTTATTTTTTACTTTTCGGCGGACACAACATCTTTGTTTGTATGTGGTACTGAGGATCGAGCCCAGTGCCTCACGCATACTAGGCAAGTACTCTACCATAACCCAGCCCCTCAGATGAATTTTTTTTAAATTTTTAAATATTTATTTATTTATTTTTTAATTTTGGGCGGACACAACATCTTTGTATGTGGTGCTGAGGATTGAACCCTGGTCGCATGCATGCCAGGTGCACACGCTACCGCTTGAGCCACATCCCCAGCCCATCAGATGAATTTTTGACAATTTTTTTTCTTCTTCTTTTTTTATTCAGACATTTGTACATCTTTATATCCTAATTCAATATATTCATACATTATGTAATGGACAAATCTCAGTATTACGTACTTCCATCTCCTCAAACATTATTCATCTACATCTCTTGGGAATTTTGCTCCCTTCTAATTATTTTGACACATATTGCAGATTATTTTAACCAATAGTTACTCTACTATGCTATAGAAAACCAAAACTTATGCCTCCTCCGCTGCATGTTGATGCCCCCTGTGTAACTTCTTTCTATCCCTTCTCCCTCCCACCCTTTCCAGACTCTAGTGACCATTACTCTACTTGGTTCTTTTTTAGTGGGGAGGGGAGTACCAGGGATTGAACTCAGGGGGCACTTGACCACTGAGCCTCATCCCCAGCCCTATTTATTTAGAGACAGGGTCTCACTGAGCTGCTTAGCACCTTGCCTTTGCTGAGACTGGCTTTGAACTCGTGATCCTCCTGTCTCATCTACTTGGTTCTTCTGTGAGATGGGCTTTTTAGTTTCTACAAATGAGTGAGAACATGTGATGTTTTTCTTTCTGAGTCTGAGCTATTTCATATCATGACCTCCAATTCCATCCATATTATTGCCAATAACAGGATTTCATTCTATTTTATGGCTGAATAATACTCCACTGTGTATATATACATTATTTTCCTCATTTCCTTCCCAACTTTCCATCTGTTGATGGACATCTTGCTTGATTCTACATCTTAGCTACTGAAAATAATGCTTCAGAAAACATGGAAGTGGAGATGTCTCTTCAATACACTGATTTCATCTCCTTTGGATGTACACCCAGTAGTGAGATTGCTGGATCTTATGGTAGTTCTACTTTTAGTTTTAATAGGAATCTCTGTAGTGTTTTCCATATGGATATACCAGTATATATTCCTACCAATTGTGTATAAGAATTCTCCTTGGGCTGGGGATGTAGCTCCATTGGAAGACTGTCCGCCTTACATGCAGAGAGCTCTGGGTTCAATTCCCAGCACCAAAAAAAAAAAAAAAAACAAACTAAAAAAACTCCTTTTATCTGAATCCTTATCAGTCTGTCATTTTTTTGTGTCTTTTTTGATAATAGCCATTCTAACTAGGGTAAGATGACATCTCATTGTGGTTTTTGATTTGTGCTTTCCTAATGATTAGTGACATTGAACATTTTTTTCATTCGTAAGCCATTTGTATGTCTCCTCTTGAGAAGCCCCTATTAAGATCTTTAGCCCATTTTTTAATTGGATCATTTGCGTTTTTGTGTGTTTAATTTTTTGACTTTCTGATATATTCTGGATATTAATCCTTTGTCAGATGAATAGTATGCAAAAATATTTTCCATTCTGTAGGTTATCTCTTAACTGTTGATTGTTTCCTTTGCTGTGCAGAAAGTTCTTTCTTTGATATGATTCCATTTGTCTATTTTCACTTTTGTTTCCTGTATCTTTGGGGTCCTATCCAAAAAATCTTTGCCTACACCAATGTCCTAAAGTGTTTCCTCATGTTTTCTTGTTGTAAATTCTTAGATTCAGGTTTTACCTTTAGGTTTTTGATCCATTTTGAGTTGATTTTTGTATATAGTGAGAGGAAGGGACCTAGTTTTATTACAGCACAATGTTAAAGAGATTATTCTGACTATAGTGTAAGTTCAGATGAAATTTTAAAGAACTCACTGGAACATAGGCATTTCCTAAGAGTTCCACCAAGCAACTTTTACTGCTGAGGTTAGACCTCTTCTTTCCCGTCCCTGTCTTATGGGAGTATTACCACCAGTAATTTCCCATCTCAAAAGAGGTGTGGTGGTGCACACCTGTAATCCTGGTGATTTGGGAGGCTGAGGCAGTAGGATCACAAATTCAAAGCCAGCTTCAGCAATTTAACAAGAATCTCAGCAATTTAGTGCAAAAATAAAATATACAGTAAAATACTGATAAATATACTTTCTCAAAATAAAAAAATAAAAAGTACTTGCCGCAGTCTGGCTGGGCACAAATGCCGCAGTCTGGCTGGGCACACAATCACGAGCCACCACACAGCTTGTAGATTCAAACAGCAACTCTTTATTCCCGAACTCACACCAGCCGTCTACAATCACGTTCTGGGGAAATCCACGTTCTCTGCCCAAATCCACCTCCACTGGGCTTCTATCTCCAAAATATACTGTCTGAATCCCGTGAGAACTCAAGGGGAACTCAGGCAGCAGGATACGCCCTATTCCCAGCAGGAATAATCTTAAACCTTAAACCTGGAACCTAAACCGGAACGCCCTAATCCGCCTTGGTCCTTGAGCAAGGTCACCTACATTCAATGTCACTGCAATATGGGGTACGCTGGCAAGGAAATTGTCATACCTACTTGGCTAATGGTAAAGCAGTCTCAGTCTTCCCCTGCCCCAAATTCCCATCTCAGCTTCTTCTCCTTCTCCTTCTTCTTCATGCTGGAGATTGAACGCATATCCTTCAGCATGCTGAGCATGTACTTTACCACTGAGCTACACTCCCACCTGTCCTTATTTTTTTTTTCTTGAATATCAGGACAAGATATACTTCAATTTTAAAATGTTGAATTGTCTGTGGATGTATCTTAGTGGTAAAGTGAATGCTTAGTATGCATGTAAGGCCCTGGGTTCAGTCCTGAGCACCCCCAACACCTGAAAATAAATAAAAGTAAATTTGAAAAATTTAAATACATTCATGTTATTCTCATGTGTGCACATGTGCACATACACACACACACACACACACACACACACACACGGCAAGCTTACCCAGAATGCATAAGGTCCTGGACTTGATTCCCAGCACTGCAAGGAAAAAAAGATACACATAATCATGCATTGTTTTGTTTTGGGTACTGGGGATCGAACCCAGGTGTACATTACCACTGAGCTACATCTCCACCAGCTCTTCTTATTTTGAGACATGTTCTACTAAGTAGCTTAAGGCCTTACTAAGTTGCTGAGGCTGGCCTGGAACTTGTGATCCCCTTGCCTCAGCCTCCTGAGTCTCTGGGATTATAGGTATGCAGCAGTGCACTTGGCTTCTTTAAAAAAAAAAATTATTTTTTTAATTCTGAGAAAGGGTCTTTCTAAGTTGCTGAGGTTGGTCTTGAATTTGTGATGCTCCTACCTCAGCCTCCCTGGGATTACCAGCCTGCTCAGATGTATGCTCAGTCATGATTTCTTAGACAGGGATACCTTCTGAGAACTGCATCATTAATCAATTTCATTCTCAGCCATCCTGTGGAAACATCACAGAGTACACTGTCATAAACCTACATGGTATATTCCCTGTGGCCCCTTGATGCAATCAAAATGTGGTAAACACAAGATGTGTGAAGGTGCTGCAGGTATAACAAGGCATATTGTTTTATAGTAAATTTTTTGCTTCATAAGTAGTAGGAATGCATGGTATAATACTGATAAAATACAGTATAGTAAATATGTAAACCAGCCACATAATTGTTTATTGTCATTATCCAGTATTATGTACTGCATGTACTTGTATGTACTCTGCTTTTATATGATTGACAGCCAGTAGGTTTCTTTACATCAGTATCTCCATGAGTAGTGCATTGCCCCAAAATGTTAGGAAGGTACTAATATCACTGGCTAATAGGGATTTTTCAGCTTCATTATGGGATCATTGTGGTATATGCAGTCTGTCATTGGCCAAAATTTCATCATGTGGTACATAACTGTAAAGTTTTCTTTTATCTCTAATCTTCTCCATTCTACACACATATAATCACTGTTAGAATATTCCAGTGGCAAACTCAAGCAAAGATGAATATAGCAAATATGTATCCTCATCTACTCTATCATAAAGGATAGCATGATACACACATTGTTGTGTACATTCCTTTATTTCCTTCTAGTGATCTTTTAGTTTTTTTTTTTTTTTTGTTGTTGTTGTTGTACTAGGGAACTCAGGGGTGCTTAACCACTGAGTCACATCACCAGCCCTCTTTTTATATTTTATTTAGAGACAAGGTCTCACTAAATTGCTTAGGGCTTCGATAAGTTCCTTAGGCTGGCTTTGAACTTGTGATCCTACTGCCTCAGCCTCCTGAGCTGCTGGGATTACAGATGAGTGACACCGCACCCAGTTCTTTCAGCCATCTTTATGAAGAGTCAGACAGCTGTGTTGTTGACTGAAATACTAATAATGAAGCAACTGAAAAGGTCTTAAGCTTTTACAATGTTACCATATTTACATCCTAATATTCAACATTTTTTAAAATTTTTTTTTAGTAGTAGGTGGACAGTAGTTGGAGACAATGCCTTTATTTTATTTTTATGTGGTGCTGAGGATCGAACCCAGTGTCTCACATGTGCTAGATGAGTGCTCTACCACTAAGCCACAACCTCAGCCCCATATTCAATGTTTTTAAAAGTTGTTTTTAGTTCTAGATGGACATGACACCCTTATTTTACTGGTTTTTTTTTTTAATGTGGTACTGAAGATTGAACCCAGTGCCTCACACATGCTAGGCGAGCGTTCTACCATTGAGCTGCAGCCTCAGCCCATAATATTCAACTTTAAAATTTCACTTTTATAAGAAATGGGGTCTTGGGCTGGGGTTGTGGCTCAGTGGTAGAGCACTGACCTAGCATGTGTGAGGCCCTGGGTTCCATCCTCAGCACCACATAAAAATAAATAAAATAAATGTATTATGTCCAACAACAATTAAAAAATATTTTTTTTTAAATAAGAAGAGAATGGGGTCTCAGTAGAATGTCCAGGCTGCCCCCAAACTCCTGGACTCAAGGGAGTCTCCTGCCTTAACCTCTTTAGTAGCTGGGACTATAGGTGTATAACACTGTGCCTGGTTTATGATTACTTTTTGTGATTCTGGGGATTGAACTCAAGACTTTGCACATGTTAATCATGCACTTTACCAAGGAGCTACATCCTCAGCCCAGGGACAGATATTCCAAGATGTCCTGGGATGTAGCATTCCAACCTGTCCCTTCCAAATTTCTTAACTATTGACCCTTGCTGAACTTGGCGGCTCACACCTGCAATACGAGAAATTTGGGAGGCTGAATCAGTAGAATTGCAAATTTGAGGCCAGCCTCTGCAAATTAGTGATAACCTGTCTCAAATAAAAAATAAAAATGACTGGGGATGTGGCTCAGCAGTTAAGCACCCCTGGGTTCAATGCCTGGTACCAAAAATCAATCAATCAATCGATAGCTCCTGCAATAAATGTTAGGAGTCTGAACTATGTCACAGTATAGTCACAGGAGTGATATTTACTTGGCTGTTTATCCCATAAGACTGTGATTTTCTGGAGGACAAGAATGTGTCTTATGCATCATTACTTCCTAGAAGAGTGCCTGAAACATAACGAAGCCCTATTTTTGTAAAGTTTTGAAACCTGAATCACAGTGGATATCTTTGTAGAAAACAATTTTACTATTTTTGTGCTTCACATACTTGAGTATTTTGAGTATTTACGACTTTGCTTTTGCTTTTCCAGAATGAATATGATGAATACCACTTTTTAAGTACTAACTACACATTCATTAGTCATCATTGTCAAACATATTTCATTTAACCTACAACTGTGTGGGTACTGGAATTATTTTGTGGGTGATGAAAGTTTCAGAGAAGTTAAGGAACTCACCCAAGTTTGTACAGCTAGTGAGCATCAAAGCCAAAATTCAAAGCCAGTGGCCTTAACTATTCAAACATATCTACCTGTTACCTACTTCTAGAAATGCAGAAGGAAAGCTCAACCTCTGTTCATACCCTGTGTCTCAATTCAGAGTAAGATTGCTGAAGGCTGGCTGTATATTAGTATCATCAAATTCAGCATTTCAGCCCATTGTTTTAATGACCCTGGATATTTGAGACTAAAACAACAAAATACATTTCTCATGTATAGGGGCTGCTTTCTATGCTGTGACTAATCCTAAACTCACCTATAATTTATACTGTGTTGTTTCAAATTCTAGTATGTCTACAAGGTATGAGGAAGGTTGATGTGTTCACATTTGACCTTGATGATGTTGTCTTGAGACAGATAATGCCTGCATTTGCTACTTGCTTCCTGACAGGTTAGACTTCAATGCATCTTTATTGAGAATCCTTAAAATAGAACATTTTTTTTTTTTGGTTCAACAGCGAAAGTTAGGTATTGAATATTAAAGGAGCCAGAAAGTTAGTGAGCAGCATTAGGTGTAACATATACCTTCTTCAATGAAGACTTAAATCTCTACTCTCTGCCAGACCTGTGTGAGGGGTTGGGGATATACCAGAGAACAAAAGAGATAAAAATTCCTCTGCATTGGAATTTCTATTATAGTGGAAAGCACAAAATGAAATGTAAAATGTAGGTCAGATGATAAAAAGTCTTATGGACAAAGTAAGGGGAATAGAGAATACTGGGATGTGTGTGCAATTTAAACTTTTTACACAGTGTGTTGCAATTATGACAAATCACTGGCTTTTGGCCCTTCCTTTCTGAGTATGACACACACTGCCCTGCATTTGTGTTAACATCCTGTTGGTTCAAATTTCCAAACATCATGTGAAACCTTAGTAATTCTTGTTCTGAAGTTCATTTCTACTTTCTTGGTGATCCAAGTTGGACTAGATAAAATCTAGATTTAAATCTAAAGCCTGGAAGAAGGCATTCCAACAATCTTGAGAGTTTGGGGAGAATTAGAAGGGGTAGGGGAAAAGTCAAAACAGGACTTCTTTAGATAGGATAACGTAGAATTACCTTTACCTCTTCACCTCTGGCCTAATTACTCAGGAAGTAGAAAACAGCTCAAAAGCTTGGCAGCGCCTAGAGGCAGGTGGAAGGAGATCCTGGGTAGATTATAACAGCTGAAGCAGAAGAAGGAAGACAGTGCAATTACTGGTGGCCGTGTGTGTGTGTGTGGGGGGGATGAATACTTTAGCTTCTCATAAACTCCATCAGTTATCTCGCCCCTCCTCCCCCAAAAGACAAAAAACAACAAACAAACACCCCCCCCCCCACGCCAAACCAAACTATTCTTCAATTGGGGCTAACGGTTTTTTTTCAATCACGATGTCAGATATTGAAAAAGCATTTTGGGGGCTGGGGCTGGGGCTGGGGCTGAAGCTCAGTGGTAAAGCGCTTGCCTCGCTTGTGTGAGGCACTGGGTTCGGTCCTCAGCACCACATAAGAATAAAGAAAGATACTGTGTGTTCATCTACAACTAAAAAATTAAAAAAAAAAGCAATTTCGGAGAACCTCGTATTGTACTATCTACTATACAGTTTAAGTGTGCTTGGAAAGGCAGCTTCTACCCATGATCCTGTAAGCTGGACAAGGCGGTGGCAGACAGACGTTAGGGCGGTGACGGTGCACATCAAACTCTGGCGACTAGAAGAGAGGGTGGCGATGATAATGGTGGTAATTAAGTCATGGCTTCCTCTCCTTGTGAAGTCAAAATCATTAAAAACTCAACGACGTTCACGTCACATGGCGTTGAGGCTTCTCTTCTGCGGTGCATCTGGGGGCCCCGCCAGTGTTAAACCCCCAAACTATCCCAGGGCCCGAGGCGTGACCCTCAAGGCCGCCGCCCAGGGTCTGGTCTCCCAGTGGGGCTCGCAGGCGGCCCCGGCCTCCCCGCAAGGCCTGCTGGGAATTGTAGTTCAGTCGCCCCGCCTCTCTCCTCGGCTTCCTCTTGGCCCCGGATGAGTGAGCAGAATGGGGACCGCGGGCCGGACCCAGAGAGCGCGGGACCACAATTTCCAACCGACCGAAGCTTCGAGCACGCAGTCACAGGTAGTCGGCGGCGCGCTCCGCGTCCCTGCGCACGCGCACACGAGCCGGGAGGTGGCGGGATTCGGCCGCGTGCGCTTTCCCGCCGGGGCTCGCCACGCCTCCCGCCGCTCGTCGGGCATCGCCCACACGCTCTGTGTTGGCTTCCTCGCGCCTCCACGCGCCCCTCCTTCACCTCAGTTTTCTTCTAGAGCCCAGGCCCCGCCCGTATCCCGCCTACCGGGCCTGGTTCGCGCGGCCCCAGCCCGCCCCTCCCCGCTCCTCGCCTCTGCCCCCCCTGCTGATTTTCTGCTGAAGGCTGAGGCTCCATGTTGTCCCCTCAGCGAGCGGTAGCGGCTGCCTCGAGAGGAGCAGGTGAGGCCGCCACTTGCCCCCGACCCGCCCTGTGGTCACCCCGCCGCCCTCCCTCCTAAGGCTCGGAGGAGACTGCTTTCTAGTCCCGGGGCTGCGACCTCGCGCCTGCCGTCGTCCCTCCGCTTCGCGCGTTTGGCGCCCGGGGCTCCTTGCGTGGCCCGTGGGGCGGCGCCTTCCTCAGCCTTGTCCTAGGAGTGGCCGCCCTGGCGCGGGTCGTCTGCTGCCCCTCGGCGCTGGCGCGGCGGCCTGCCGATTCCGGGGGTCCCAGGGCGGCGTCCGTAGGCTCCGGCCTGCCGAGCCCTGCGCTGCGCTGGGCCGCGCGCTCGGGGCGGCTACCCGCTCGGTGCCTGGGCGCCTGCAGGCTCCCGGGCCGGGACTCCGGGGCCGAGAGGCTCTGGCCCGGTTAACGGGCCGGGAGGGTTCGGGGTTTCTTAAAGCGGAGGGCTGCCAAGTGTCCTTAGAATTGGACGTTTTGTTTTTATCCTAACGACCTTGAGGCACTGACAAGTATTGGGAAAAGTTGGTTTTCAACCCTCTTATCGCCGTAAAGGAGATAAAAGAAAGGGCCTAAATTGACTCAGTAAGTTCTTTGAGTACGTTGGGTACCGTGCGCTGTCCTTGTGCTTCCCGAAGACGCAGAACTCGGCGACGGAATTAAAACCAAATAGGGTGTCAGCCCAGACTCACGACTGCAGTTTCGCCTGTCATCATACCTGGCTTTGCTCCTGTTTAATGTGCGTGCTCCTGAAATCGCCAGAAGTTTCAGTTGCGAAATCTAAAGGCAAAAGCGTCAAGAACAGTGAAGCATCTTTTAATAAGTTCCATTCCTCAAATTTGAATAGGAAGTGGAATGTTTTGTGAAAGGCAACGAGAAACGGACTAAAACGGTGCGATTCCCCATTTTGGCTAATTTTAGAATTAAGAAGCAGATTTAAGAAGTAGAATCTATGGTGTTCTAATATGTGTCAAGTATTTAGCATTGTAAAATACATACTGGGAATTCGTGTGGTTTTAACACCAGCAAAGGAAATATTTGGTTGGAGGGGCTCTCTGCATAACAAAGTATTATGCTGGGCCAGCACTTTATCTTATTAGCTATGGTTTATCTCATGTAATTTTCATAAAATTAAGAAAAATAATAGAGGGTAGATGTGATGTTGTGTACTAGCATGTTTCTTAGTTTTCAGAAAATAAGGCTTATTTATTTTCTTTTGCTGTACTAGGAACCCAGGGTTTTGCCTATGTGAGGCAAGCCTACTCTAGCCCCTAGGGCTTAAACTAGGCTTAAAGCAAAAATAAATTTTAAATAGTTTAAACATTTAAGTTCTTTTTTTTCCCCTCCCCTTCTATTTTAGATGCCAATCATAGGGAAAAAGTTATACTCACTAATTATTTAAAATGAAATAATAGAGAATTGGGTGAACAAGAAATATGAAGTTCTCTGCACTTCCCCAGTTCCCCAACATATGAACAGTCTAGTCACACATTCTTTTTTCAGATTTTTATAGACTACCCTAGGCAACCCTAGTTGTGTGTGAACTTGTTTGAGAGCTGGTTTAGAACTGACCTATAATGATTGGCATGCCTGTTAAAGTTCTTTATGACCTTGTATTCTGTATTGAGAAAGTATTCAAGTAACACAACTGAATTTAAAGTTTGCCTGAATTTTAAAACATTTTTCTGAGTTGTCTTTGATATTCTTGGAGCATATTATCTAAACACCAAGAGGAAAAGTGAGAGAAATCTCTTTATTTTTCATTTTTAAAAATCACTTTATTTATTTTACAGTACAATACATTTTGACATATTGTACACAAATGGAGCAAAACTTCTCATTCCTTTGGCTGTACATGGTTCAGAGTCACTCCAGGGTGTAATCATACATGTATATAGGATAATAATGTCTGTCACTTTCTACTGTTCTTCCCATCCCCACAACCCCACCCCTCCCCTTAGAAATCTTTTATTTAAAAAAATCTTTGAGTTGCCTTACAGCCCTTCTGTATACTAGAATTATCCAGTGGCTTAAAACAAACAATCAATCAAAAACAAAATCTTCCAATTCTTGAGTACCACTCATAAATTCTGATTTAATTCATTCAGGGACCAGGCAACAGTTAAAATTTCTCCAGTAATTCTATTTTGCATAGTACTTTATTTTTATTTTTTGGTACTGGGATTGAACTCAGGGGCACTCAACCATTGAGCTACATTCCCAGCTCTTTTTTATTTTGAGTGTCTCTTAAGTTGCTGAGGTTGCTTTGAACTTGATATCGTCCCACCTCAGTCTCCCAAGTTGCTTGGATTGCAGATGTATGCTACTGTGCCAGTTGCATAGTCGTGTTTAATCAAGTTTTCCTATAGGTGGTTACTTACATTTGAATTATTTCGTTATTTTTTTAGAAAACAGAGTTGATTAATTGTCAATATGTATTTTGAAAAGTTGTTTTCTGTTCAAATTTCTAAAAAATGCTTTTTACTTGCATGCATTTTTAAAAAATATCTTTATTAAATTTACTTATTTGTATGTGGTGCTGAGGATCGAACCCAGTGCCTCACAAGCGCTCTGCCACTGAGCCACAACCCCAGCCCCTACTTGCGTGCATTTTGATTGTTAGAACATCGTTAGATGTATTTGACAGCTGAAGTATATTATGAATTAAAAAATTGTTGGGCTGGGGATGTGGCTCAAGCGGTAGCGTACTCGCCTGGCATGTGTGCGGTCCGGGTTCTATCCTCAGCACTACATACAAACAAAGATGTTGTGTCCGCCGAAAACTAAAAAATAAATATTAAGAAATCTCTCTCTCTCTCTCTCTCTCTAAAAAAAAAAAAAGATTGTCATTACTGGTATAGTAGGCTGTTAAACAGAGCAGTGGAGTAAGCATATTTATGCCCTAACATGATAAATATGAGCCAACTAAGTACTGTCAATTAATTAAGAAAGCCTTGTTAACTGGAACATTGCTAATTAAAACCTTTGGGTAACTAGATTGATTTTGGTGCTGTTCCTATGTTTAGGAAAGAGACAAAATTACTTTTGAATTTATTCTGTTGAAATGTTTTTTCTCCACCTGTGGTATAGCCTGTTAGCCTATTTATTTATTTATTTATTTTTAATATTTTGAGACAGGAGTCTTTCTTATTTTTTGGGGGGGGTACTAGGGATTGAACTCATGGGCACTCAACCACTGAGCCACATCCCCAGCCCTCTTTTGTATTTTATTTAGAGATAGGGTGTCACTGAGTTGCTTAGTGCCTTGCAATTGCTGAGACCGGCTTTGAACCTGCAATCCTCAGACAGGAGTCTTTCCATGTTGCCCAGGCTGGCCATGAAATTCTGAATCGATGTGATCCTCTTGCCTCAGTGTCCTCAGCATCATCTCACCCAGCTTCTGCCATCATTTTTAGATTTAGCCCTATTCCTGCATTCTCCATGTCAATAATGTTTAATCATAGTTGATCTTCATAAATCCTTGAAGCACTACAGAATTCCTTGGGCAGGACGATGGTAAATGCTTGCAATTCCAACTACGAGGGACATTGAGGCAGGAAGATTACAAGTTTAAGGCCAGCCTGGGCAATTTAGCCAGACCTTGTCTCAAAAAAAAAAAAAAGAAAAAAAAAACAACTTAGAATTCTTTTTTTAAAAAAAAATCCTTTTAGTTGTATATGGACACATTTTATTTTATTTTATTTATTTTTATGTGGTGTTGAGGACCGAACCCAGTGCTTCACACATGCTAGGTGAGCACTGTACCACTGAGCCAAAACCACAGCCCTTTTAGAGATTCTTTTTTTTAATTGATTTTATTATTATTTTTAAAATACATGACAACAGAATGCATTACAATCCTTATTACGCATATAGAGCACAATTTTTCGTATGTCTGTATATAAAGTATGTTCACGTCAATTTATGCCATTATACATGTACTTTTTTTTTGCATTACAATTCTTAATACACAGATACACTACAATTTTTCATACAGATTCTTAATCAAAAGAAAATCTGGGGTGGGGATATAGCTCAGTTGGTAGAGTGCTTGCCTTGTATTCACTAGGCCTTGGGTTTGATCTCCAGCACCACCAAAAAAAATCTGGGCCAGGTGTGGTGCTACATGCCTATAATCCCAATGACTTGGGAGGCTGAGGCAGGAGGATCATGAGTTCAAAGCTGATCTGAGCAAAAGCAAGGCACTAAGCAACTCAGTGAGACCCTGTCTCTAAATAAAGTACAAAATAGGGCTTGGTATGTGGCTCAGTAGTGGAGTGCCTGCCCCCCCCCCAAAAAAAAAAAAAGAAAAGAAAATCTGGTTATCTTCAGCATTCTATACTAAGGCACAAAGTTTTTTTATTGGTGCTTTATAACTATACATAACAGATTTGTTGTTACATATTCAGATATGCATACACTATAATAGTGTAATTTGGTCCGTTTAATACCCTTTTCCTTCCATTCTTCCTTCCCCTGGGGCACAAAGGTTTTCTACAACAGAAGAATTGGAAAAAAAAACCTTCTTAGCCGTTTAGTTAATTAGAATATAAAATTTTCCCATTATTTTGGCTATTGGGTTTTTACTAGTATTTCACAGAAACAACCTTATATATGTATCTACTATCACATTCATTGCCTTAAGCCAGTGGAATATATTGCCCCACCCGTTGCCCTAGCACCAGTTCTAAAGTTGGGAGAGGGCTTAGTATACTTATCCTTGCATATGATATGTTTTCTTTGGCTTTGTGAATCAGGAACTTTTAACAACTGCCAGTAAAGACAAGGCAAAAAAAAAAAAATGGT